TTTGACTACTCTTACTAGTCATGATCCGAATCAAGTGATCCGATGCAACACCTTACGTCAGGTGAGATATGATATATGGGTCGACCGATCTTTCTGAAATTCCATTGAATCCAAGCTAGGGCACAATACAATTCACTGTTTGAGAGACCGTAAAGATATTGCACTAGAAGCTGTTCTCTTGATAATTACAATACGACTATACAGCCCGATCCGAAGCCCGAAACCCCCATCAGTAATAAGAGGAATTAGAGAGAATCTTTAATCAGATGATGATCAGAAATATTTATATATAGAAAGTGTATACAATGTGTATATGGTATGTGTATGGCCCAAAGAGGAATACCCTCAATTGCAAGGTTATCAAAACGAATACTAAAAGAAAACTAAATAGTAAAGAGCAAAGGAAAAGCAAGAAACGAAAACTAAAATAGAAAATTCTTTTCAAATATCAATAAAGCAAAATGAGAAAACCCAAATGAAACGAAATGAAATGAAAGAACAACGAGAATGTGAAATCACCAACCAATAACAACAGCTGCAACACACATTTCAAGTGCGCTCGTTTAGCCCCATATATAGTATATTTCAATTAAAAAGGAACGAAAAACAAACAACAAAAAACATTAAAATATTTCAATATGTCATTAAGTCACAGCGAATAAACAACAACAATAAGTTGAAGGCGACTTAAACATCTAAAAGAGAGAGAGAGCAAGAGAAACAGTCCGCCTGTGAAAGAGAGATGGTTTAAGGGGTTTTTGAGGGAAAGAAAGGCCGCCCTAGAGGTGTACTATACCAGGTGGAACCATCTCCCTGGGCCTGAGAATGCGATGGCCAGAGATCCCTCTGATATGATGAAATTTACTCCTCTGGCCCAAGCCTGAGTGTAGTTTATGCGTGTCTAGTAAATCGTGTCTAAATGATAAGGCGGAACCTTTAAGGTTTTCCTTCATTGCACAACGTTTGATTAACATTTAAAAATAATTTGATGGACGCCCCTCTAGGGCTATTCCTAATTATTATACTATGAGAAGGGACTCTCTCACAAAGATATTAAAGAAAGGCACTGCGAATTATAACCTTAGTTGTATGCACTAGGTAAAAAGTAGTTGGTTGCACAATGGATTAGCGTTTAGGGTTATTATAAATTAGTATTAGTATTAGAGCAGAGTCTCACAAAGAGTTATAAGACGGTATTTTGTGCCAAAAGATCTATAGGTCTTAGAGGAAACGAAAATAAGTTCTCTGGTTAATTAATACATTGCGTTTTGCTCTTATAATGAGGAACCAATAAATATGAGGAACAATTGTTTAAATACTATGCATAAAACAGTATAAGGATGGATAGCTCAGGCAAACTATATAGATTTCACACGCTTAGCACTGGCAAAACGCACTGTAATTAAACTTGCCAGGCGTTTGTGATAGAGAGAAAGATACATATAGTATTTTAAGTACATATATATATATAGAGAGAGAGCGAGAGAGAGAGAGTGGGAGGTAGTTTAATTTTTGGTAAAATTTTAGCCTATGCAAAACTTTGTCTTTTTTGGTTTAAGGAAATGTCTCTATGCTTTTATGTGAGTGGTGGTGTCTTTTCTAATCGCGAGGTGCTAGTAAAGATTAGGTATCAGTGGTCACATCTTCGTTGTCATCCTCCGGCTCGTGTCCACGTCCTTCCCGTATACGCTTCAATTTACGCTTTAGCATCATTACGCCTGAAATTCCAGGATAAGGATTACAAAGCGTCTCCAAAAATAGTTGTGTCTACTCACATTTGATGGCCTGAAAGGTTTTAGCCGAGGCCGAGGCGGATTCGCTGGCTGGCATGGCATTAGCCGTGGCCTTTTCATGGGCCAGTTTTACCTCAAGATAGGCCTTTTTTAGCGTCTTGTAGTGACGGTACTCAATGGAGTCCTTGACCAGGATGCATCTAAAGGGAAATGATTTTATAAATACAGCGAACTCTGAGAAAATAAAGGTCTTACTTCGCCGCAGATCCCTCACCGGAGCAATCCGATGGATTCGAATGATATATCTGATGGTAAAAGTACTGCAGCACCGGGGAGTTCCAGATGGAGAGACCGTACCACAGCCAAATGGCTACATTCAGCGGCAACTTGAAGTTCTTCGCAAAGAGAGTGGGAATGAAATACTTGAAGGGCAGCAGATTGATGAACACATGCGCCCACGCTGCGATCCTCAGGCCAAGGAACATTTGATATACCAGCCGATTCCGATTTGAGCTGGGCAGGGAGAGCAGGGCGAGCACTTCGGTGAGTATGCTGTACAGCCCCAGCGTGAGATTCAGGCCCACAAAATAGTTCTCATATCTATGGGGGGGGTGGGCCAAACGGATAGACTCACATTAAAGTACGATTCAAGTAGAACAAGTCGAGACATGCCTGTACACATCGATGGCCACGAGGGCCAACAGGTAGAGGCCTTTGGAGCCGACCTCTAGAAAGTCCGCCTCCTTGTAGTCCAGCATGGCTCCATGCAGGTAGAAGGTGATGATGAAAATTGAGTAAAACTGAAACTTTTCCAATTGATGGGACCGGTAGAAGATGAGATTCTCCGACGAATAAAAGAGCGAGTATCGTCCCTGATTCTTCATCAGCTGGGGGAGTATCATAAACTCATTGTAGAAGTGCAGGAACAGGCAGCTGGCTGCATAGAAGGCGATGTTCCAAATCAGTCTCGCGAATTGTTTGCGCTTAAAGTACTTCATATTCGACGACTTGAGGAAGAACTGCCAATAAAGGGAAACGATGGAATGGAGGGTAAGGGTGGTGGGCAATTAGTCGAGCATTGGTCTGACGCCGCATCAGATAATGTATTATGGTCGGGCGGTCAGTGGTCGTTGGTGGTCGGGGCTTAATGCTATCGTTGTTTGTCTGCCAGGAGCGGATTAGAAAGACCACTTTTTATATTTAAATGGTTTATATTTTTTCATTATTTTTCCATTGCAAAAAGCTTTTGGATTCCAATAATGTATTCTAACATTTTAGGTGCCCCATTTAGGCCACCGACCAACCCCCAGACCGCCACTGACCACCCTCTGTTTATTTATAAACGCGAAAATATTTCAGCAACCCCTCAAAAAGAGAGTGAACGCCGTCGTGGAATATTGCAATTCAGCTGGAGCACTTGGACTTACCTGAAAAACACGCTGAAACCCATAGAATCCACAGGACAGAGCCACAAATATCCAAAACACAGCATTTATCAGGTAATACAAGTCAATATCCTGGACAAACGCATCGAACCGGTCGTTGGTTATTAGATATTTTAGCGGCAGAAAGAAGTTGCTGATCTCGGCCCAGTAGTCCGGCGGGCCGGCCTTCATGTCCAGGATGGATGTCATGGTCGGTATTGTTGGGATTCAGCCAGCAAAAGCTGAGCCGTTTGCTAAATTCGGCTATGAATTATTATCGTGTCGGCAGTGTGACCGCGGATTTATCGATAAGATATACGGTCCGACCCTCAGAAATATACCGAAATCTACCGTCTCAGTTAAAAAAGATACCGTAAATATACTGACGAATTCAAGTTCCATTTTACATATTCCTCGATTATGATCTTCCGTGGAATATTCTCAGCTATATAGCACATTTAGCCATGCCCACATAATTTTATACGATTGATGAATCAATTGTCTTCTTGATTGGCTTAATTTAAATAATTGCTTTTAATAGATTTTTATATAACGTTGAAAATGAAATTTAATAGATTGTCGTGTCGGTCTTCTCCCAGATTTTATACAGTATTGATAAGCGCACTGTTGGCTAACAGCTGTTTTTATCAATACGAAAATCGGTTCTGATAGGAACTTATCGCACCTTACAGCACGCTGGAGAAACTGTTAAATCATAAAGCGCGCCATGATTTTTTAATTTCAAATTTTAAATTCATATTGTTCAGGAATATGGCCCAAACATCAGCGTTAGCCAAAATCATTGACCCTCCCATCGATCCTGTGCAGATGTTTAAGCATCTTCTAGAGACAGTTGATCAAGGGAAACCGGATGGCTCGTTTAAAGAGATGAATCTGGCCACTATAGATAACGAATTCGGGGTGCTCAACCGAACTGTGGTATATCGTGGCCTCTCCAGCGACAACTATGTGTTCTACATCACCCATCGATACACGCGCAACTGCAAAAATCTCCAGGCCAATCCGAAAGCCAGCATAACCTTTTATCTGCCGCTCGTAAAGGATGATGCTGGTGGCAAGGACACCACATGGCAGGTGCGTTTAATTGGGGCCACGGCAGTGGAGCTGCCCGAATCTGAAATGGATGCCTTGTGGGACAAAGAGGATTTGCCGGCCAAGATACGTGGCCACGTCTTTCCCTGTGGCGAGCCCGTGGACTACGATCAGCTAAAGTTGAAGCACGACACCTTCCTGAGAGAGCACTTGACCTCTGGGAAGCCCATCGAGAGGCCAGCTAGCTAGTAAGTCCACGCATTCCAGATAAAAACCCATCCCATCGCCAGCCGTTTTTCTCAACCCCAATCTTTGTAGCACCGGCTGGAAATTCCAGCCCCAACGCTGGGACTTTCTCAAAGTGGGCCAGGGCCTGATAGCCGATCGTTTTCAGTATCGCCTGCAGAGCAACGGTAAATGGGAGTCCATGCACGTTTCCACCTGAATCTTGAGCTTTTGGAGCTTTTAGGAGCTTCACTTGATTTCATTTTATTCAACAATATCTTTCTACAAACAGCTAAAAGTAATTTCTAACAACTAAATGTGCTTCTTTTTCGACATGTTTAACATACAATTACAGCATAGTTAATAAATATTACACAAAACAGCAAAAAAAAAAATAGAATAGAATAGATTACGTATAAAAAGAGTAGTACAGATACAGTATGTGCTAATAAAGGGAGCCCAGTTAGTAGCGGTTAAGTTTTCTCCTCGTTTCTTTTTACATAATACAAAGATACATAGTTGTTCGATTTGATTCTGATCTTTTTTTATACAAATGCTTGGGGGGTTTTCGGGCTGCTACACCGCATTCACCGTCTCCCGTATCCAGGCGGCATTCGAGGCGATCTTGTCGTACATACGCGGTCTCTCGACACCTGTGGGACCGCATGCGATGCGCCAGGAGGAGACGCCGATGAGGGCCCACTGATTGGTGCCTGGTATTAGGCACTGGACGGGCGCTCCAGAGTACTCCTCTTGCTGTGGGAGAGATGGAAAATGCATTGATCGGTTGAGGTTTTGTATTTTGTAATTCAATGATAGATTTGTTTGTAAAACAGCTGCTAACAAACGAGATTTAAGTGCAGTTTAGACTGATTAAATTATGAATGGATTATGGTATACATTATCATTATATCATCTTATTATATTGTATAATTCTTTCTTTTATCCAGGTTGAATTTTAGACACTCCTGATTTTAGTCCTTATTAATTAACGACTTTGAGAAAATGCGAAGAAAGTCTTGATTACAAATTTGGCAAATTATTTAGATTTTTAAGTTAATGTTTTTTTAAACTCCATTGCGGGATATATACAAGAAATTTTTACCGATGTTTCTATGCTAGCTAACTATGTACCTATGTATATGTTCATATATGCCTATGTACATACATATGTATGCACTATATCTAAATATGTACAAATTTATAAAGAGAACGAATGAATATTATGTGAAACATAAAAATACATATGTATGTAAATATGTATATTTATTATAAACTCCAACTCCCATTCAAGGGGTGCCCCGCTCTATTGGCATTTCACAATCAATTTTAATCAGTGTAACCCCAATTGGCGATACTACTGACGTCACACAGCACGCGACATGAAGGAACGTGTTTGATGATTAAGATGAGCGCGCCTTCCCGTCCGTCCGCTCTCTTTCTCTCGCTCTCTCTCTGGAACGGTCGCTGCCTGCCGCTCTCAGCAACAACCCACCCCCTCTCGCACCGTTACGCCTGACTACCTGGGGACAGAAGGAGCGAAAAGACCCGCCACTTCGCTTACATATAACGAACAGCAGCCCTACTGCAGCTGCAGCGGCCAGACAAAGAGAGAGCATGGAAGAGGGACAGGGGAAGAGAAGGGATGGAAGGAGGCATCAGTGTATATATAAAACGAGAGCCGGCCACTAGAATGCATTTATTCGGCAACCTTCCAAGCGATCGCACGCGAAAAATATCCATAGAGAGCAGTGAAGGAGAAACAGAGTGTGGAAAACGACAACAACAAGAAGAAAGAATACTTTTTTCATCCAAATAAATGTTAAACATGACGGATATCAAGAGCTGCCTGAAGATCTGCTTCCAGGGCGAGACGAGTTTCATAATCTGCGAAGCCGAAAACAGCTATGAGGAGGTCATAGTCCAAGGTGAGTCACGGAGCATAGGAGCGAATCAAAGCATAGAAAATATATTCAAAATTCTTCCAGCCATGGCCCGCTTTGGCATTCCGGAGACACAAAAAGAAGCCTTGCTTCTGACTAATGGCAACGGTTATATCTTTGAGCCGCAGCTCTTGGAATACTTCATACTGCTCTTCCCCTGCCCGGAGATTACTTTCCATCTGCGTCTAAGCTGGCAGAAGCTGCGGCGTGGCCACAGCCTGAACCAGTCCATCAAGCGGAAGCGTCACACAGATCAGGAGACGACGCCAACGGAGCAGACGCTGGAGCAGGAACAGGGAAAGAAGGAGCACCAGGAGGAGGAATACAAGCCAGTGGCTGTATATCGCCAGAACTGTTTCCTGGGCTCATTGCCCAGCTCTGAGGCGGCTCCTGTGCGTCGTCAGAACTGTTTCCTAAGAGAACGACAGCCACAGCAGCAACTGCAGAGGGAGGCGGAGATCCATGCCAGCCGGGAGGAGCCCCAACAGCCGCAGGCGAAGCGCTTGCGTCTGGATGTCTGTGCCAAGCCCAGACGAGCTGCCTCCATTGCTCCGCTGCCTGCCATGCGCTCCATTCGCATATAGCTTAGACGCTACTAAAAATGAACTGTACATAGCCCTAGTACGTATAACACTCGTACATACGATATAAACATGTACTAAATACTCATCGCATCTGTAAGCATAAAGGTTGAACCGCTGTTCCTACTAAGATTGTTATTTCGAAACCAAAAGAAATCCAAATAAATGTATACGAATTAATTAATCTTAATCAGACGAGATTGGTAGAGCCCCCTCTATAAAGAACTATTCGGCATCATTAGTGGCTGTGGGCAAGATCTTGCCTCAACTCCTCCCTAAAACCAAAATACATGCAGTGTGCGCGACTGAGAGTGATAAGGGTGCACACCACTGTTCTACAGATAGGGATCTTCCCCTATCTCTGTTTTGTTTGGATCGCAAATTATCTCAATTTGTATACATATATTTAAGCAAAAAAAAAACAATTGATCCTTGAGATAGTCCATCGAATCCTTATAAAATGCACTTGAACATGCCCCGAAAGTATGTATGAGCCCAGAGAAAAAAGAAAAAAGAACATCACTCACCGTGCAATCGTACTTCTGGTAGGTGGCCTCCATGCACATGGAGTTGACCGTGGCTATGGACACATTCTCGCAGGGCGCCATGTCACCGATCTTCAGCTGGACGCGCTGCAGGTGATCCCGCTGCCGGGACCAGCCCAGCGTGTTGCAGTTTGTCCAGATCTGCTCCTGCGCTGCTGACTGGACGGGCTGGGCTCCAGCTGCAGTTGGCTTTGTGGCTGAGCGGGTGGTGGAGGAGGAGTAGGCGGCGGAGGAGGAAGAACTGCCGCCGTAATAGTTGACCTGCGGGGCATGGTCAGGCAGGGGATAGGAATCCAGCTCCTGGTGCAGTGCCTCTGCCCTGGGCATGTACGAGGCTGCCGCTTCCGCCTGCTGTGAATAATGATCCTCTTCCTCCCCGGCCTCATCCTCCGGGGCTTCCTCTGTACTTCCGGAGCCCTCCATTTGCTCCTGGGAGGGTATCAGGAAGAACTGTTGCGTTTCCTGGGCCAGCGGACTGCGCTGGACTTGAACCACCGGCTGTTGCCCCTCCAGGCGCTCGGCCACTGGTACATAGGCACGCCTCTGGACGGCGGGTGCAGCAAGGTGTCTTCGCTGCAGTGCATCGGGCAGACAGATGGGACGCACATGATCCGAGAAGCTAACCGGAGTCTCTAGCCGCACCAGCGCCGCTGTGGAGCCCTCGACGGGACTCTTAATCATCCCAATAATGCGTCGCCTCTGCGTCCACGGGGCCTTGGCGGAGAGCCGCACCGCACCCACAATGGCCATCCAGGTGGCCCGGGGCTGACCCTGAAAACAGCCCTCCGTGGTGAGGACCCAATCCTGCGATATGAGCGTGCCATCGCACACATGGATGTCCTCACGGAAGAGAGCCACCAACCAGGGCCAGTCCCCAGGGGCCGACATCTTGGGCAGCGACAGATGTTGCTTGGCATTGAAGAGCGCCGACTGAACGCCGCATCTCAGGTCGCCGCAGCCCACATACAACACTTGTCGCCGGGGACAGTGCGTCCGGATGAAGCTGATTTCCGGCGCATGGGGATCCAGGACCCGCACGTAGTCCGTCAGCTGTTCTGTATCGTTTTGCACGTCGAAGATTTCCACAGATCTGCAGGGGAGAAACAACATGTCAGTGCGGATGATGGTGGGGAAGAGGCAGGGGTTTCCTAATTCTTACTCGTAGCCCAATGACTTGCATAGTGACTCGGAGACGGTCTGGCGCACCACCAACTTGGCATCGCCCTCGAGTCCCTCGGCACACAGCTTGCCCACCACGCCCTTTTCCGAAAACACGGCATAGCCAGCGGCATGGAAGCGCGACAAATAGGGAACCAGGGGCTCAGGCTGCAGCAGATCCGCGGCCAGGGGAGCAATGGAAACTGCAAGTATAAGAAAGGCCATGAATTATCAAGACCATTTGATGGTGGCTCTGGTTCTGCGCAGCAGCACTCACGGCAATCCTTCTCATCCGCTCCATCAGGGCAATCCGCCTTTCCATCGCATCGCGCCTTCCGAGGCACACATGCCCGGCCCCTGCCACAGTATAGGGCATTGGGGGAGCAGAAGGCGCAGCTGCGCTCGTCGGATAGATCCGGACAGTCCGCATACCCGTCACAGAGCCGTGGACTCTGCACATTGCTCTGCATATCGCTGACACAGTGCGGCTTCTGCTGGCAGGACTGCGTGCCCGTCGACTCCGGGAAGCGTTCGCAGTCGAAGTACTGACGGAAACGCTGGGGCAATCGACTGCCACAGCCGGCCATGAAGGATTCACAGTACTCGCGGCATATATGGCCGGGCGTTGGCTGCATGCTCGAGCCGTGGGTATCGCAGGGCGGCTGGAGCAGGCGGCACACAAAGTCGTAGGCTTCGCGATAGCATTCCCCATCCACGAGCTCCCGGAAGACGATCAAATCTTCGGCCACCTGCTCGTAGCTGGCATGGCCCAGTAGATTGGGATACGTGGTCACGTTGTAGCCCAACTGGCGGCAATAACTCAGCTGGATGGGCTCACAGCGACGCGGTGGCGCCGGTGTGGTGGTCACAACCGGCTCGGTGGTTTCATCGTGCCCGCCCAGCGGCGAGCTGGACATGATGGGCTCCTCAATCAGGCCCGTGGTCTCCTTGATGCTCAGACTGGACACATCCACGGTCATATTGGCAAAGTGCCGACGCTGATGGTCGCTCATCTCTTCATGGAAGAGCGCCAGGAGCTCACCGCTGCTGACCAGACCCGCGTACGGATCAAAGATCATGTTGAAGTGCACGATGATGTTGTTATTATCCTCGCTTCTGTGGAAGGTGAGGGGGGAAGGGTTTCATTTTCAGTGGAGGGCCATCTACGTGGGATTTGATTGCTACTCACCCATCTAGGGCCAAGATCTCGCTGCCCTCGTAGGCCTCCCGCAGATCCGAACGCCTTAAGGTGAGATTGATCCTCTCCCTGTAGTCCCTGGACTTGTGCTGGAAGCGCAGGGAGTTCTGATTGGCCAGATCCATGCTCCACTTGTCGTTGAGCACCATGAAACGGCCTCGAAAGACGCGATCCGGCAGCGGCTCTGGACGAAAATAGGTGTCTGCAAGAGAATTTGCATTGAATTCAGTGAAAGATGGATGCAGTGCCGCAGTGCAGTGCCAGAGGAGGCATACTCACATCCCACATATACAAATGCGCCGGCCACGAGCAGGGCTATAAGGAAGCCGGCGATCACAGCGCAGCCGCATTTCTGACCGTCTCCCAGCTTGCGGCGGGTGAAGCGTATATCCGAATCCGTGGACAGAACAGACTCCGATTTTCTTCTCAGACCATGGGCATGGTTGTGCATATGCAGATGGTGTTCCCGCTCCCGCTCGCGCTCCCTCTCCCGCTCTCGCTCCCTGTCGCGATCCCTTTCCCGTTCCCGTTCTCGCTCTCTTTGTTGGGCGATGTCCAAGCCATTCGTTGCGGAACCTGCTCCCGCCCCTACTGCTGATCCTCCTCCATTGGTGTGGCTGTGATGGGGCTTGTGGTGCCGCGTACAGCGAGTATTGTGAAAGACCTTCGGGGGCAGGGCTGTGGAGCCGCCGTTGCCGCTTCCTCCATTGCCATTGGGATTTGGATTGCTGTGGACGATGCCCTGCGCAACGAAAAGAAAACACTTTTGGTCAGATTCAATAATTAAGCGAGCAGAGTCGGTGGCAATTTGGTCAATGACCACTAAAGCGCCTTAAATGCTTTGATTTTACGCCAAATCATGCCGTTAAATCCACACACGGAACGAACCACAGCCCCACAACAGTCCATTCGAGCAGCTACGAGTATCTCCATCCATCGCGCCATCATCGGGGTGGCTCGGAGAAAAATCTTTACTTGTTTTAAATGGACTTGGATTGTGGTTGCTGTTTATGTGGCTGGTGCATGCAAATGTGGCATGCAACATTGGAATTTGCGGAAGCTTCTGCTTTAATTAAGGAAATTACCAGCCTTTTTCGAGTTCACTTTTCTTTTGGTAAATTTAATTTCTCGAATGGAATCAAAAAGTGCGCGCTGGCGTTGCCAGCTTAATGATATGGAACAGCTGAGCCGGGCTCCTGCCAGCGTTTACCCACACTAAGCTGAGCCCAACAGAACAAGAACATGTTGAACATCAATGTTAACAGCGATTACATTTCCCACTACAGCCATCTTATATTTATCGTGTTCAAAACGTACTCTTCACCTTAACCGAAAACATAAGACTTAAAACTAACCGTAGTACAGAACTCCGAACTTCCGATCATTCGAACTAGTGCAGCTATAACAATAATCTATAATAGAGTCCGATCGAATAATACAGTATTACATTATTATACATTATAATAATGAAATTCAATTAAACGACAATTCTCCGACAGCTGAAATTTATTGCCTGCTGTATGGTATTTTTTTGTTTAAGGCTTTAATTATTTGAAATATTGGAGCCAGCTAATTATTTAGAATCCAAACGATGTCTATGTCTGTATTAAAACGACGCCAATATCCTATTTTGTAGAGACTTTAAATTTATGGAAAGAGTAAAGATTGCCATTAATTTGCCACTAAAAATAGTTCGAGTTGAAAGGAGGAATATAGCGGTAGTTATTTATGTTATATCCATGCAACCGAATCGCTTAATTAGAAATCAGTCAATGCATATGCACGTTCAAGCAGTACATTTATGTCCAAAACAGTCAATGATCTCGGAAGGCAACTTAACTTAACCTAAGCGGCCTCTCTCCCTTTAAAAGCCTGCTTCTGCTTCTGCTTCTGCCTGTTGTTTTATTAATTATTTGAGCTTAACTAGCACGTAACATAACGGATGCGAGGGGGAAGCTTGAATGCGGTTTGGTTTTTATGTTGCAATTGCGAAAGCGGCAAAACAGAACACAGGCAGGCACAATTTAGAAAATAATTAAAGCGCAAGTAAGGAAAAAAAAGAGCTGCTACTACTGCTGTTGCTGCTGCTATTTTTCTGTAAACGGGTCAGTCAGCGCATGGCCCACTTTTCTTGAGCTGATGCGTGATGCTGCCCGCCAGACAGAGACAAAGTAGCATAACAATAATAAAATAAATGAACAGGGGCAAAAAGTGTAATTAAACACAAATGGTTTCCTCATTTCATAATCTCGGGCATCGGTCAACACTTTTTTATTGAGCAAACTTATTAGCATGGTGTTGCAATTGTCCCGCTCCCGCCCTCTCTCTCACTCAAAAGAGAGAAGAAAGCCAGGCAAGTTTCGGGGGCTGAAGCTTTTGTTTCACTTGCAGATCACTCGTTCTCAAAGAGAAGAGGAGTGTGGAAGAGAAAGAGAGTGCGCGGGGCCAAGCAAGTCAAAAGTCACTCGGCCGCATAACGGCTCGAAGCAAGCAGTGTGCTCTACTCTTGTCTTCTCTCTTCATTTCTGCTGACGCGAATGCATTATGCGTGGCGCACGTGTTGGCAGTGTGTAAGCTTTCGTGTTACATCACCGCGAACACACACATTTCCTTCATCCTCTCTCTCTCCCTCACCAACCCAATTTTTAGCCAATTGGTAGCTTTTCCTTTTGTTTTTCTTTTTTCTTTAATTATCGCACAAATTCATATTTAATTACAATTTACGCTTATGCCTACGCTTACGCTTACCTTCCAATTTTTGCCTCCTCCTCCTCCATTTGTCTGCAAATTGGATTTGTCTTTGTTGCGATTGCTGCAATTGTTGTTGTTGTTCTTTTTATCAGCTGCTGCCACTGCAGCCGCCGTTGCCGTCGCTGCGGCTATGTTGCATGCCGCATTCGCATTGGTATGTGCCTGTGACCCCGGGGATGAAGTTTTGTCCGCATCGCGGGACTTTTTCATCTGCAAAACAAATTTGAAAAACTTTTGTTCAACAACCCATAGTGCGAGCATTTCGTTACAAAAGCTGGTAATGGAGTAGACATGCGCGAGAAGCCCGAAACTAACCAACCGAACAGGTGCTAATTGTCCGAGGCGGTCTGGTCACCAGCAACAACTGCCAAATTTAGCACAGTGTAGCAGCACATTCCCCTCTGCCACGCCACGACACGCCGTGCCCCGCCGCTGCCCATCCCATCCCACACGCCCGAGGGCCATTTATATGGTTTGCTCCAGTTAAAACCCAACACCAAAACCATTTAAAACAACAACAGTTACAACAACAACAGCAAGCACAGCCAAAGTCAAAGCAGTACCAAAGTCAAAGCAGTCCAATGTCAAGCGAACAGCGCCCCAATGTCCAGCGTCGACAGCGACTGCGACAGCGACTGCGCGACTTCAGCGTCAGCGTCAGAGTAAAAGAAAGTTTCTGCGTTTCCTTTATTTGTAGTTGGTATTGTTGTTGTTTTTTCGCTGTTTATTGTTTATTTGTTTCATTTTGCTTAACATATTTACATATTTGTTGATTATTCGCTGGCTTGATTGTGTGGCCGGCCGCGTGTTCCCATTATTCTCTGTTCTACGTTAACTGATGATCTCCAAGACCGGCTAACACTATGAAATACATACATACTATACACAGCAAATCCAAGGAAATCGTTTAACAATTGAAAATAGTTTGTGGAATGGAATTCCACATCATGGAAAGTTTAGATGAAAGAAGAATCTAAATATAATCCTAATCCTCATAGAACAATATTTCATCTGTTGACTGATCTCTGATGATCCTTGGTTGGATCTAAAGCTGCATATATCTCGCAATCAAGGAAATCGTTTATCTATGATACTCGTAGTATCTGAATGCAGGGATGGTGTGGCGTAGGGTTCTGATTCCCGTACCAGCTCCAAGTATCGTGTGGCCCAGTCGTGCCACGGACAAACTGACTCGAATCATAGACAACGTATAGATATGTACTGTGGCATCTGCAGCCGAAATACTTTTGTTCAACAACCCATAGTGCGGCACCCAGAATATCTCTAAGGTAATATCCTCTTTGGTGAGCCGATCCAGGTGCTACGAAAATCAAAGATTGGTAGACAGCTTCATTGTGGATGGCTGGAATGCCGAGCGTGTTACAGCCTTGTAATGGATGGCATGATGACCAGCGAAATGATGAGTTATGATGGGGATCCATCTATCCAAGCAAAAACCACCTGGAACTGATGTCCCTTTGGGAGGTGGCCATAAGAGGCCTCAGTGACTTCAGTGACTCGTGAAAAATACTAAATTGTTCTTTGTTTCTTGAATAATTTTCTTTTTATTAAACAAAATTATACGCTGCTGCTGCTGCTGTGCTGTCCGTTTTCGCTTTTCTTTCGCACGGCCACCAATTAGGAAAATTCATTTCGCTGGGGATGAGAGTTGAGTGGAGTTGGCGCTGCCGCTGCCGATGCCGCGGCCGTTGGGGAGGAGGCCCGTCTTGTAAACATGTTTTACGCGCAACATGTTGCCTGCCGTTAATGTTGCCGAAACGTGTTTCCTCGGGGTGGCAGGGGGACCGGGGACGGGGACGGCCCCCACCAAGCAGCCGCACAGCGGCGGCAGCAACAAAAACACTTTCATTTTGCGCCATGCCTCGCCTTGGCTTTGAAAATTGTTGTTGCTTTTTCATTTTGGTTTTTCGACTGCAATTGGCACGAAAAAAATTCGCTTTCGCCTGCAACAAGACAAACAATTCAAAAATGCGAGGCTCTTCTGCAACAAAGCGGTCCTCCTCCTCCTCCTCAGTGGGGCTCTTCTTTAAAGCCTGTGGCATGATGGCATGGCATGGCATGGCAAGGCACGGAATGACACTTGTCGTCAATGGGAAAACGAGTTCGTGGCCCGAGTCTTTTGAACTCTAACGCTCTACCGAGACAAGCCGTGCACTTTCACAGCGAAGGCCGAGATCGGGGGGGACAGAAGACAGACTGGATGACCTTATGGCCACAAAACGAAGAAAGTTGCAACATGTTTTCTTTGTTGTTGTTGTTGTTGTTGTTGCCTCTTCTTTTGAAAAGGAAAGCTGGACGATGCGCGATGCGCGATGCGCGATGCCTGATGATGACCGAATTCATGATTTTCGCCCTTGCCATGTGGGAACCATGAGAGACACTCTACAAGCAACAGGGAATGCCAAAATGCCACTCCATAATTAAAGTGAACTATTCGGAGATTAGAAAACATGCCATGCCACATGTATATCTACAAAAATATGATTGTTGGATATATTTTAGGACCACATCTAATGGTATTCTCTCTTCTCACATAGACACTTTCCCAGGATTAACACAAAGGGTCTATCCTTGACCTCCTATATGGTCATATAAGGAATCTGCCATTCGTCTAATTTCAGACTTTATTTCGCTCAAAAAATTATGAAAAATATTTCAATAATATAAAACATATAAAAATTAACGAATCTTATAGAAAACTATTCAATCTATCGGATAAAATTAGTTTTGCTGTTGGAAAAGCTCCTAAACTAGCAGAAAACTGTGCTCAAACTTAAGACCTGCCCTTTATATGACACTGTATATTTTTAATACGATTTTAATAAGAGTTTTGCAATGATTGCCCAACCGAGCCATGAGTGGGCACACTTTTGTGTCAAATTTCAATACGCTGAAGCAGAGGAGTAGTCGCCACCCCACCCCACCCCACCCTTCGGTTGAGCAATTATCCAACCAATCCCACATTACTTGAGACTGAGACTGAAATTGAGGAAATCTTCTGGTCAAGTTTCATTGCGTTCGCTTTACGACAGCGCAGGCCCCAGTGCGTTGAGTTAGGAATGGAACACAACACACATCTGTACTCGTATCTTGTTCAAATATCACATTTCTGGCTCACGCTCTGGGTTTGGCCGCTGCGACGGCTGCAATGTTGCACTTAGAAGCCGCGTCGGGGCCACGTGCGGCCAATGGCAGAGCAAATGGGGAACGGGAACGGCAGCTGTGACAGCTTTTCACTAATTTCCCTTTAAGCAGCCACAGTCACAGCCGCAGCCGCAGCCGCAGCCCCAGCCTCAGCCTCTGTGGCAGCCGTAGACGTCGCTTGGAGCAGCCGTAGACGCCAGAGACGCCACAGACGAGGCCCACAGCTGCCACTCAATCGTGACGAATTAATAACGGAACGTTTTGCCGAACTGGGGGAAAGCTGCAACTGAACAATGAGGGAGAGACCGAAGAAGCGAAGACCGAGAAGACAAAGCCTGCAAGACGACAAGGCGGGAGTTCAACCGAAAAAAAACCAAACCAAAATGAACAGCTTTGACCTCCTCAAGGAGCATTTCTATCCGCTATCAGCACTCTTTCTCCTTGGCTGCCGCTCCGCCTCTTCGACTTTGCCGGGTGGCAGGAGAGTACGTGCGTGGTGAAGCTCGTGGTAGACGATGATGATAATGATGGCATTGCCAGATACGAGTATGAGTGCGACTACGTACGACTAGATGGCGTTTTCGCCTGCAACGATTGACGATGACGACGACGACGACGAGACGTGACTGAAAACTGATTTTTCAAGCTGGCAACTATGAAACTGGGTTGCCGTTTTAGGGTGTGTGTGTCTCACATAAATTGGCTCTGGGTTTGGGTTTGAGTTTGGGATTGGGTGAAGCCAACTTCTGTGACTCACTCATTCGCTCTGCCCACAAAACTAGCCAACAACAACAACAATTATGGCAAATCAAAATGCAATCCAGCAAACAGAGTCGTCTACAAATTGTCGCTCTCATCCAAGCCGAACCAAGCTCTTTGGCTATGGAACTGGCTTTGCCTCTGGCTAGCCATGGGTGCGGGACGATATCAAAAAAAAAAAAAAACAAAATGATCCACTAATTTTGATAATCTCTTGGACAATTTGTACTCGAATTTGGCAGCGATTTCAAATCAATCCAGAGCACAAATGTTGCCCAAGCCAATCCAATCTTATCCAGACTTTCAACTGATCTATTCCCATTTTTGAGTAGTAATGCTGATGGTGGGGGCCCACAAGTTTTTACCATTTCCGAGCGCGGCCTTTGCTTTGCATTCCAAATGAAGTAGAAAGTTCTCCGCTCTCAGCGATTTATTGGAATGCCTATGGGCGCTTTCTTAACATTTCTCATTGCCGCTGGTTGCCTCTCTGCTGTTGTCGCGAATTACTTATTCAGAATGCGATTGGGTAAGCCAAACTGGGAATGGCCCTGTTTCTAGCTGCTGGATGGGTGGCCTGGGTCAGGGCTTGTTTTGGGAACCAAAGTAGAATATATAGAATATAACAAATCGGACACCACACAATTAAAAAGATACAAAAATGGGTTGACGAACTGTTCGTCTGCGAAATTTGCATGCGATAATCTCTTTGGCCATTTGTATGCAACTCAAGGTAGCAGTCGCCAAAATTATGTGGAGGCTATAATTCCCACAACTTCCCAAACTGCTTCCACTTTGCCCGTAAAAGTTAATTTCCGCTGGGATTTGCATATTTAATTGAAATTTTGCAACTATTTTGGACAGCAGAATCGAAACACAGACAAAAAACTGCATTGGAGAAAATGCCAGAAAAGGTAAAAGATTAAAACAAAACAAAAAAGAAACGAATCTACCGATGACCGATTGGTTAGATACCCTTGCAGATGTTTATTGAAGAGAACCCTACAATAGCGTCATGCACACAACATTTATGTTGTTTTCGCAATTCACTGGCATTCTCTTTTGCAGCTCAAGACGAGAATTAATGTCACCGCATCATGATCACGAAATATAAGTTGTTTTTCAATTATCGGGCATACTTATTGGCAGCATTCGCTTGTGCAGGTCGAGTGAATGTTTTTAATATTTGGAGACCTTCATATATAATCATTTACGTTACCTATCCAATCTTATAAGAGTCTGCGCAAAGATTCAGTCCCAATACTAAATAACTAGTTTTCCTAGAACAA